CTACTAATGGGAGTTCATACACTGTGTGTGTGTATATATATATATACACACACACACACACATATTAGTATTTTACTAATAGCAATTTGGAATCCCTAGGAAACAATGATGTCAAGAAAAAGAAAAATTGACTCCGAGTGTAGGATATTCAAAGAACAGTGGACTTATTACTTTTTCACGCGGTACAAAGAAAAAGCTGTGTGTCTGATATGCCAGAATATAGTTGCTGTGTTCAAAGAATACAATTTGCGACGCCACTATCAAACTCAACATAAAGATAAATATGATTGTTTGGTCGGAGAAGTGAGAAAAGATAAAATATTAAAACTGAAACATACACTGACAACTCAGCAAAATACTTTTGTGAAGCAGAAGCAGCTAAATATTTCATCACTGCGGGCAAGTTTTCAAGTTGCCAAGCTAATAGCGCGCAATGGCAGACCATTTGTGGAGGGAGAATTTGTTAAAGAATGCCTTCTTTCTGTTGCCAAAGAGATGTGTCCAGAGAAGGCCGATTTATTTAGTACAGTGAGTCTTTCAGGAGCTACAATGACACGAAGGATTGAAGAAATGGGAGACAATTTGCAGCACAATTTGCAAAACTCTGCAAAAAAACTTTGCTATTTTTCCTTGGCACTCGACGAAAGCAATGATGTTCGTGATTCTGCCCAACTTCTCATTTTTATGCGTGGGACAAATGAGTATTTTGAAGTCACAGAAGAGCTTGCTGCACTGCAAAGTATCAAAGGTGCAACCACAGGAGTGGATATATATGAAAAGGTTTGCCAAACTGTGAATGGTTTGGAGCTGGACTGGTCTAAACTAGCCAGTGTGACAACTGATGGTGCTCCTAGCATGGTGGGGTCTAAGAGAGAAGTAATTGCTCACATTAAACAAGAGATGGACAAACATAACCATCCTCATCCAATTGCCATACACTGCCTCATCCACCAACAAGCGCTGTGTTTTAAATCACTGAAGTGGGACTCTGTTATGAAAATTGTGGTATCTTGTGTTAATTTCATTAGAGTTCATGCACTAAACCACAGACAATTTCAGGAATTTCTGTCTGAGCTAAATGTTGCCCATGAGGATGTTCTGTACCACACAGAAGTCCGTTGGCTGAGTAGAGGGAGAGTTTTGAAATGTTTCTATGACTTACTTCCGCAGATTACAGCTTTTCTACTTTCAAAAAACAAAGAAGTACCAGAGCTCAATGATGCAGAATGGAAATGGCACCTTGCCTTTCTGACAGATATAATAGAGCTACTCAACAGTTTCAATCTGCAACTTCAAGGAAAGGGGAAGCTCATCTGTGATATGGCATCGCATGTGAAAGCATTTGAAGTAAAATTAGGCCTTCTCATCAAACAAGTAAAGGAGGAAAACTTCAGCCATCTCCCAACAATTCAAAACCTGTCAGCGGACAAACCATTGGTTGCATTCCCAAAGAAAACGTGTGGATTCACTGGAATTGTTGCAAAAGGAGTTTCAATTTAGATTCAAAGAGCTTCATCTCCATGAACAGGACATACAGCTTTTTCGTAACCCATTTTCTGTTGAGATTGAAAATGTCCTTACAATTTACCAAATGGAACTGGCTGAACTGCAGAATTGTGACTCTCTGAAAGACGCATTCAAGTCAAGTAGCCTTCTGAATTTCTATGCATCTCTCCCCTCTGAGACATATCCAAATATCAGGAACCATGCACTCAAAATGGTAACCATCTTTGGTAGCACTTATGTCTGTGAACAGACTTTTTCAAGAATGAAACATCTGAAATCTCCAACCAGATCAAGATTAACTGATGCCCACTTGCATCACTTGTTACGACTAGCAGTGACAAATATGGAACCGGACATTGACCATCTCATTAGCCAAAAGCAGGCCCACAGTTCCCATTGAAATACTGGTAAGTGATCTGTTTATTTATAAATGTTCTTCATTTTATTTATATTATATTTGTTACCTTTTTGTGAAATAAGATATGTGCAGTGTGGGTAGGAATTAGTAGTTCATATAGTCCGGCCCTCCAGCTCTCTGAGGGACCGTGATCTGGCCCCCACTTTAAAAAGTTTGAGGACCCCTGTGCTAGATGATATAGGGTTGGGTACAAGATGGAAACTAGATTATGCATGCCTTCAAAGAAAAGTATGAATAATGGAAGTGCTTCAATAACTTCAACATCACGCCAAATTAGCTACATGCATAAGAGAAATAGAGAGAGTTGTGAGGATTAAAGGAAATTAGAGGAAACAGGACAAGCTTGAAGCAGGAAATGAAACTTGATGACTAGAATTCTGAGGGAGAATGGGATGATGGGGGAGGGGTGGATGGAAAAAATTATCAAGAGAAAAAAGTATTCTCGAAAAAAAGAGTATGAGCATAGGCACAAGGCAGAGAAGGATGGGGTACTTAAAGGACAGTGAGTTGTAAGTAAAGGTTTTTAAGTTCATAAGATATATATGGGAAATATGGGAGCTAAGTAGTTGAAAAGGGTAGTTGGGACTGAATCACAGAAGACCTTAACTGTTGAGTTTGAATGTGATTTGGTAAGTAATGAGGAGTCACCGAGCATTTTAAAACAAATAATTACAAATTTTATTTTCTTACCATATATAGTCGTGTACCATATAACACTGTTTTGATGAACGAAGGACCACATATACAATGGAGGTAAACATACATACAATCTAAGTGTGTGATAGGCTACAACCTCCAGGTTTGTGTAGTATACTCTTATGATGTTCCCACAATATGTCTAGTGACACGTCTCAGAATGTATCCCTGTTAAATAGCACATGGCTGTATTAACCATTCCCTACATATACACTGAGTGGCCAGATTATTATGACCACCCCATCAGTACTTCGTTGGGCCACCTTTTGCCTTCAAAACTGTGGCTAATCTTCTTGGCATTGACTGAACGAGATGTTGAAAGGTGATGTGAGGAATCTGACAATGTGCCTGATGAATAGCACTGTACAGTTCTGAGATTCGATGGCTGTGGAACCAGCTGCCTGGTGGCTCTTTTAACTTCATTCCACAAATGCTCAGTTGGATTGAGATCTGGTGAATTGGGGACACCTAAGCAAGGTAAAGTCTTCCTCATGTTCTTGAAACCACTCCTGCACAATACGAGCACCGAGCACCGAGCACCGTGGCATGGCGCATTGTCTTGTTCGAAGAAGCCATCTCCATTGGGATTCGCCATCAACATGATAGGAGGAACTTGATCAGCAACAATACTCAGGAGTGTTGTGCTGTTCAGACATTGTTGTTCCACATGAATTAAAGGCCCCAAATCATGCCAGGAAAACATGCCCCAAACCATAACACTGCCCCCACCAGCTTGAACGGTTGTACTCATGTATGTGAGGTGTATGCTTTCATGTTGTTTCCATGAAATTCTCACTCTGCCATCTGTATGATGCAACTGGAAATGTGATTCATTGGACCACTTGACTATTTTTCCCAATGCTTGACTATCCAATCATTGTGTTCCTGTGAGAATTGGAGATGTTTTATCTTGGTAACTGCAGATAACAAAGGTGTTCGAACAGGCCTTCGGCTTCCATATCCCATACGATGCAGTGTATGACTAATTTGCCTACAAATATCAGGTGTTCATAATAATCTGGCCACTCAGTGTATATTTAAAGCTCTCTATGCAGCATAGCTAACACAAACAAGCCTAAATTCTATATTTACACACAAGAACATAGGTCTATTGATGAGGCTGAACAAAATGGAGGGGAAAAGGCCAAGTAAACAAATGTGTGCCAGTGAAGAAAGAAGGCACAGGAACTAAATATTGTCACTTTGTTATGTTGACACAGTAGCTGAATAGTTCATTTTAACCAAATGCTGGATTCCCTAAAATAACAACTTGTTTTTGAGAGTCAGAGTAAGGTATTTGATGATGATAAACTATGGTTCAATTTTAGCTTTTAGCTATTCATTTTTTATATTTCACTCCAAATCCCAGCCATCTTTAGCATTTAAAGCCATTAAAATTCTTAGACAAGAAAAGACTGGAGTTAGGGGTTGAATAGTTCAAGAGCACACTCATGACATAAGTGTCTGTCACATACTATAAATCCTTGAGCTAAAGCAACTAATCAAATCTGAATTATGGGATAAGAAATACTCTGCAATTAATTAAAGGGAGAAAAAGTCCAATAGCGTTTCAAAATTTTTCAAATAACATTATATATACACTAGGGGACCAGTGAATGAATTTGTGCACCTAATAAGGAACTGTGGCTGTGAGGCTGAAGTGGGCACAGGACGGGTCTCAATCCATCCTCCCACACCCCCGCCCAGGCCCTCCCGCCCCAGCCCCCTGTCCCCTATCTGCTAGCAGCCCAGCTCCCACCACTGCTGCTGCTCCCATGTGCTGACAGCACCAGCCCCATTCGCACCCACTGAGGGTGCAGAGCAATTGGGGCCAATGCCAGCAGCAAGTGCAAGAGGTGGCTGCCGGCCTCAATCGCCCCTCAGGAGCAGGGCAAGGTGGAGAAGCCCTGAGGAGCGATCAGGGCAGCAGCCACTGATCATATCTGCTGACGACAATGGAAGATCCGGGCCAGCACTGGGCGCCAGCGGATGTGAGTGCTGGCTGCAGGTGGGAGTGGGGCCAGTGCCTGCAGTGGGTACAAGCGGCGGCTCTATCGCTGGCAGTGGGTGCAAGTGCACAGTGGGACCACTGCATGTGGGAGCAAATAATTTTCAGTAATCACCAGAGGCTCACTCTGATAGTAACCGGTGCCCCGCTGTGCATTGGCGCCCCTGCTCACCTGCTCCTCCATCCTGCCATGGCCAATCCTGCCATGTTCCACACTCTGCCACCTGCTGCTGATGCCTGCCATGTTTTGCACATGCCCCCTGGTGGTCAGCACATGTCATAGCAACCAGTTGTTCAGTTGTTCCACCATTTGGTCTATTTGCATATTAGAAATATATTATATATGGATAATGTAGAAAAAAAACTAATTACCTCATGATCATGAGTGGCCTGTCTGGCTGCATCTAAAAAATATGAAAGAATAAGAAAACATTAAGTTAAAAAAGCAAAACAGAGCAACAATTAGAACCAAAGAAACAACTGTGCCAAACCAAAAAAACTGCTGGTATATGTAGGCTAGCACAACTATGATATTTTCTCTTATGGCTTTGTTAATCAGTTAGTAAGTACTTATTTATTGGTTACAATTAGACACAAGAGAAACAGCAGACATAGTTCTTACCGTTGAGGGGATTACAGTGAGAAGGTGAAAAGGAAACATATGCCAAAGGCTGTTTGCACAACATAGTTTCGCAAGCAAAATGCCAAAGTGTGAGAAGATGTAATGACTAAGAAATGACAGACTAGTTGTGGGCGAGGCATTTTTGCAGTTTTTCCTGAAGAAGGGGATCTTAAAGCAATTCTTGCAAAAGTGGGAGAAACAATTTTAATGTAGAATAAAAGATCCATGAAGACCGGGATCTTATTTATCTTGTTCACTGGTGCTTTTTTAAAGACTAGATAAGCTGCTGATGTATAACAGAAGGTGTTCAATACATATTTTTTTGAATGCACGCATACATGAATGCATGATTTTAAAGGATGATTATCTGAGGCTGGGAGAAATGACATATAAAAGGTTTAAAGATGTTAAGGCAAGGAAATTAAGTGGTTTAATAGACAGACTTATTTAGAGACAAAGAAATGACTAAACTGGGAATTATTGAATAGAAAAAAAGTACAGACATCTAAAAAGGGTCTTGGAGCACAAGACAGACTGTTGATACTGGTATGGAAACCAATTGAAATTTATGAATTAGAGCAATGTGATTTTAATCAAGTTCTAAGATGACGCTTATAAGTGAATGTAACATAACAGAGAAATAATAGAAACAACCTATACAATAAAGAGGTAATATGCAAATTGCCTGACACACCCTCACACAGAGATGGCTGCCCCCATGTGGTCACAAGATGGCCACACTCATATCATCACAAAATGGCCACCCCAATGTGGTCACAATTTGGCTGTGCCCATGTCATCACAAGATGGCTAGCAGGGGGACGGTAGTTGTAGGTGATCAGGCCAGCAGGGGCAACCAGGCTGGCAGGGGAGGGAGGTTAGGGGTAACCAGGCATGCAGGGGAGGGCAGTTGTGGGTAACCAGGCTGGCAAGGGAGGGCAATTAGGGGCAACTGGGCTGGTAGGGGAGGGCAGTCGGGCTGTTTGGGCTGGTAGGGGAGGGCAGTCAGGGGTGTTTGGGCTGGTAGGGGAGGATAGTCGGGGGTGTTTGGGCTGGTAGGGGAGGGCAGTTGGGGGTGATCGGGCCAGCAGGAAAGCAATAAGGCATTGATCAGGCTGACAGGTGAGTGGTTAGGGGGTTATCAGGCTGCTAGGCAGGCAAGTGGTTGGGAGCTAGTAGTCCAGGATTATGAGAGGGATGTCCAACTGCCAGTTTAGGCCAGATCCCTGAGGGGTTCCAGATTGGAGAGGGTGCAGGCTGGGCTGAGGGACACCCCCCTCTAGTGCATGAATTTTGTGCACCAGGCCTCTAGTATCTTTTATATTTATCACTGTAACAGTAGGCTTTGTGATACTCATCACACATAGAAAACTACAAATATATTTGGTTCTGGTACTGATACCTTGTCTTTGAGATTTGCCTTTCTGACGGTCCTGGGTTTTCCTACTGAAGACCTTGTAGGCCTCAGTCTTCTGATACTGCTCCAGTTCCTTCATGTAACGCTCCTTATCTCTATCTGCTTCATCAAGGTAACGCTAGAAAAGAAATGTGGAATTATTTTAAAGAAACAGATCTTACTTAGATAAAATATCAATGAGCTATTTGAAGACCAGCGGACAATTAGAACATGGTAAGAAAAGTGAAGCAGAATTTAAAAAAATGTCATATAAAAAGTATAATCTCTAAATTATAAAATAAATAGGTGATTCTGAGTTTCTATAGACTATTTCATTTCCTTACTTAATGAAGACAAACTCTAGTGAGGTCATTCTTATAACAAATTCTCAAGAAGATGATTATAGTTATTTTTCTAACCCTATATATATAACTCTACATGGCCTCTAGAGTTCCCAAGATGACAGCATACCACATAGACACATTTAATCCTCTCAAGAGAAAGTATGAAATATTACTTTATTTCTTTAATTCCCCACCCCATTGTAAGAGAATGATCTCATACATCAATTGGCCTTTTAAAAGCCAGAAGAGTGGGACACTAAAGCCAGAAGACACAAAGAACATTAAAAAGAATGACTTCATTCTATGGGCCTAATATAGACTACTGTGAGAGAGCTTATATCTGCATACTTTGTGCTATTCATTGTTTAAACAAAGTCTAGTGATCTACTAGCATAATTTTATTTAATGCCTTATTCTTTTCATTCATCAATTAAGTTTAAGAAATAAAGTATGAAAATAGTGCTTCTAAATGAACATAAACTGATGTCAGAAATTATGTTAAAAACCTTATTACCTATAAAAGTCAAATGTAGGGACAAAGATGGCCAAATCTGGAACAATTTAGTACCAAAATACTTAAGTACAGTATTAAATTATAAACCAATCAGAAAAAAATTATATGGCTATAATAAATAAATATCAACCACATAAATATATAAATAGGGAAAGGAGGAGGGCCCTTGCTTAGATTTGAATGGTTAACTGGTAAGTGGGGAGTGAGTGCTAGGGTTGAAAAGTGATCATTTTGCAACCACCATGCTAAAGATTAGGTCAGGCAAAAGTAATCAATGAATGTGAAATCTGGGGGGAAATTTTGATACCAATATTTGCATGTTCTCCATACACTACTTCCTATCTAATAAAGAGGGAATATTCTAATTGATCCTCTCACCATCACAAAGATGGTGGTGCCCACAGCCAATAAGGAGGGACTATGTGAATTGACTGCCATGTCCTCAAAGATGGTGGCATCCACAGCCACAACAAGGAGGCACTCAATCTCTGGAGTCCCCTAGTCCCCTCAGCCCCACAGCTGCCCAGGGCTGGCCCAAGGCACAGGCAAGCCTTGGATGGTGGCTGCCCAGTCACCCAGGGCCGGCCGAGGCTTGCAATACAAGCAGTGGCAGAAGCAGAGGTGTGATGGGGTGTTGCCTTCCTCTGATTACCGGGTTGCCTCCCACCCCTGAGGGCTCCTGGACTGTGAGAGGGGACAGGCACTAGTATTAATTATAAGGAAGAATTTAAAAAAATATATTGTAAATTAACATTACCAATTAAGAATAAAAGGACACTGTGGTACCCTAAGAAGGACACAACACCACTATAATATTCTGACCAAGAATGCATAACCTCAAACTAATCATGAGGAAACACCAAATAAAAAATGAGAAATATTCTGTTTAAATTAAACAAAAAAAGAGAAAGAGGAGAGATTGTATTTTTTAAAGATATTAATGTCATCAAATACAAAGAAAGTTGTAGAAATGTTCCAGATTAAAGGAATCTAGAGATTTGACAAACACAAAACCTGACCTTACTCTGGAATCTGAACTGAAGGGGTGGAATTTTTTTTTAAATCCTCACCCAAAGATATGTTTATTGATTTCAATGAGAGAGGATGGGACAGAGAGAAACATTGATATGAAAGAGAAACATCAATTGGTTGCCTCTTATATGCCCCTGACCAAGGGAGCAAACCCACAACCTAGGTATGTGTCCTGACTATCAATCCAAACTTGCAACCTTTTAGCATAAGGGACAATGCTCCAAAGAACTGAGCCACCTAATCGCAGTATGGAAGGGGAAATTTTTGTAAAGAAATGATGTAATATCAACTGATTAAATTGGAATATGGATGGCAGATTAGATAAAACTTTTGTGTTAATAATAAAGTTGATAATTATAAAAGAATATGTCTATCTTTAGGAAATATACATGAAAATATCTAGGGCCATGATGTATGTAACTTCTCCTTAAGTGATGCTGAAAACAACTGTGCATGTGTGTACTGTGTGTGACTGTGTGAGAATATGAGGGAGCTTGTGCTGGAGAAAGTATGACCACATATGCAGAGATATGGGACAAAATGTATAAACAATAGATCAATCTAGGTAAAGGATATTTGGGTGTTCTTTGTACTATGCTATGTTTGTAAGTATTTTTAGATTTGAAACTATTTTAAAAAAGAAAGTAAAAAACAAAAACAAAAACAAAAACAAAACAAGTACACAAACCCTTGTCCTACCTATATAATAGTGGTTAGTGGTTAGTTGTGGACATAATTACTGTTACTTTGCTTTTTTCTTTATACATTCTGTATTGTCTGAAAACATTTTAAACCATGAGCATGCATTAATTTTGAAATTAAAAAATTAAAAGAGTAACCTATATGTACAACTCTCTATCCCTTTATAAATTAGAGCTGAAACAATGGATCATATATATGCACTGCTTTCTATTAGCTTGCTACCACAAACATAGAGCTTTAAGTTGCAACTTAATCTGATCTCTTTGAAAATGTTTTAATTAGGTCAATTACCAACAGTATTTTTCATTTTGGTAGAAAGGAGTACAAGACATAAAAGAAATACAAGTATTTTTCAGATGCTGAGAATGCCAGGAACTTCTTGTTTTAAAATATTCTATTGATTTTTTTTTTTATACAGAAGAAAGGAGAGGGATAGAGAGTTAGAAACATTGATGAGAGAGAAATATCAATCAGCTGCCTCCTGAACACCCCTTACTGGGGATTTGCCGGAAACCAACATACATGTCCTTGACCGGAATCGAACCTGGCACCCTTCAGTCCGCAGGCTGATTCTCTATACTCTAAGCCAAACCAAGTAAGGCAATGCCAGGAACTTCTTAACCCAAAGTCACTCCCATTACCATCACTCTGTATTTGGCACATTTCAGCTAGTGCATGGCTATTTTGTCTTCCATTCCTCTCAAATGTTTCTAACAAGTGGATTTGTTTCAGTTTAATAATAAGGTTAATTTCTGTTTTCAAAGAGAAAGAATTCAAGAAATGCTTTATTTTTCATAATTGGTTAAATATGGCTATTTTTAAACTCTAGTTTTAAAATTTTATCAGAGCAGTAAGACCTTTTAAAATAAAAATCTTATGTGAACAGAATTATATCAAATGACCTTTTCTCATTTAACTCATGACTTCTCATTGAATTTAGCGGAGTAAATTATGTTGATAAACTTCTTAATATTGAATCTTATGTGAACTCTCAGCATATCAATCAAACACCAGTGCAGCTGCTTTGGTTAGAGCCACTCCTTCTCACACCTTGCAGCAGACTCTGAAAGAATATTAAAACTATTGTGTTATAGAAGAGAGCTATGAAGGACCCTACTAGGCACAGAACAAAATTGAAAAATCAGCTGTCCATCTTCTTTGCTTTTCTGATAGAGATTATTTTTTAGATATAATCAAAATTAAGCTAAAGATCAGGAATAGGAAAAAATTACCTGTTTTTCCTCAGGAGGCAGTTTACTCCATTCATTGCCTAACATTCTTGTGATTTCTGGAAATGGGACTTCTGGTCTCTTTGCTCGAAGCTGTTCTCGCCGTTCATTCATGAACCGAACATATCCTGTAAGGGGGGATTTGGGTGCATTGCTGTCTCGAAGAGGTTTCTTCCTCTTTCTTCCTTTGGACCATCCTCCTCGTTTACTTCTTTGCTACAACATAAGATAAAATAAAATCCAAAACCAAATTACAAAAACAACAAAATATCTCCAAATAACACAACAACCAAAGAGTTGCATTTTCTGGCCATTAATACCCTAATATTCAAAGCTCTTTGTATCTGTCACTGGTACAGATAACTTCAATGCAGTTTTCAAGAAGGGACTCCAGGTGGATCACTTGTAGACCCATTTATGTACCACACTACTAACTGTTGCACTAAAGGGCATATTGTAGTGCTAATCTTAAGAGATGAGAATAAGGGGTATCATGATCACTCAAGGTTTGGCTTTTATGTGCACTTAACAAGTTCTGACTCCCAACAGGGGAATAGTCTAAATGATAAATGCAGCATATAAACAGCACTGTGCCAGAGAAGCAGACATTGTCACAGTAGATCAGAACGAGATGTAACATGCAGTGGGCAAACAAAGAGACAAGCTTTAGCAGAGGAATAAAATATTATTCATGAAGCCCTGTTCAGTGTGGATCAGTCAGTTGAGCATTATCCTGTGCACCAAAAGGTCCCTATGGTTTGATTGATTCCCGGTCAGGGTTCATACCCAGGGTTTGAGTTTGATCCCCAGCTGGCCTGTGTGAGAGGCAACCGGTTAATGTTTCTCTCTCCCTTTCCCTTCCCCTTTCTCTAAAAAAAAGATCAATAAGAACATAATTCATGAAGGGTGCTTGTCATTGATACCACTCAAAGATCAGCTTATTTCCCATAGTAGATAGCATATAAACTAATAGAACAAAAACATCTCAATATTAATTATATTATTATATTCCTTCAAATACTTATAAGATTGTACAATAACTCAATAACAGGCAAATGGTATAATTGGTATCAGTCTTGTTTTTTTTTTAAATCTAGTAACATTAAAGATACTAAGTAGTTTATAATAAGATGTTTGAGAAGTTTTAAGCATTCATCAAAACCTTTAAGTATGCCAACACAAAAAAGTCAGATCTTTTAAAAATGAGAAAAACAATAAAGATTAATGGTGGTAGTCTTTTATGGCTAAAAAGAGTGCCTTAAAACATAGACTATGTAATCAATCATTTGCAAGTAACATTGAGAGTTCAATAAGGGCATGGCTATGTAGGCCCATGTGCCACCTCTGTGAGAATAAAAGATGTTCCCTAAGAAAGGCAGAATGATTGGTAAGTGGTATGAATCCTTTAGACACATATGACTCCATGCTGCAGGGCTTGGGGAGCAGTGTGTGGTCTTGGACATGGCATGTGGGCTTCTCATTCATTACTTGTTTAATTAAATAACACAACCAATCATTTAACAAGCATTTCTTGAAAATTTAATATGATGTAGGTATAAATTTCTTAGGGGAAAATAGAATCTAACTGTTTTTATGTCATTAAAACCATTAATATGTAAAACAAGAAATATAAAACAGAAAATTCTGCATAATGTAAGAAAGCCATATGATGAACACCTACTGCCTGCTTCTTTAGAAGCTTCAGAGACCAGTAGCAGGACATACTTCAGCTTACCTCATCTTCATGCCTCTGTTCAGTGCCTTCTGTTGTGTTTGAAGGCTCGTTCTGAAGCAATTGATCTTGGGAGAGACCCTCCACAAATTCTGGATTGTTGGTAGATGATGTGACTCCAGTACTATATGGAATATCTGGGTGATTTAGCCTGAAAAATAACAGAAAGAAGTATAACAGTTCAGTATCAACAGCATCGAACACTCGTATTTATCAAGGTTCAAGACAAATATCCCTGCCAGCAAAAGCATAGGTCAGTCCTTGAATTAATTCCCCCCACCTCATTCTGTATAAATGTAAATAGTATTTGTAGCAGTTATAGAGTATTTAAAAAATGGTTTCAGTGCTTGATGGAACCACGCCAGTTCCATGAAGACGTCTACTAAAAACAGCTATAATTTCCCCCCAAAATATTACCTCTCCCCTCAACATATATGCCTTATAATTTAGTTCTGAACATGCAACAGAGCCTGACTTTATATGCTATCTTTCATGTATATCCAATAAAAAGGGAAAATACTATTAATGGAAAAGGATAATAGGAATAGGAAATATAGAAGAAGTTTGTCCACAGAATAAGAGAGAGAGTTCTCGAAGGACATAGAATATATTCTACGGTATTTTCCATAGGCTATTTCTTCTTAAAGTATTTATTGACAACCAGACAATTTAAAAATAATATCAAGTTCAGTAAGCTCAGGTATAAATGATAATGAATCAGGCAGATATAATTCTTTTCTTTTCCCACTATTTGTTCCAGATGAATCAGCAAACCAGATCTTATAAGAAGATACAAATGATGGCTGGGTCTTAAGACTATATTTTTATTTTTAATCAGTATTATTATTACTACTATTTTACCTTTTTTAAAAATTTTAATTTACTTTCTTTTTATTTATTTTATTTCATTTTTGGATTAGTGTTCTACATTTGATTTTCATTTTTCCTTTAGCATCATTTTACTCTATCTCAACATTACCTTTCAGCCAGCACTCTCTTCCTCATTTTCCCCCTTTTGTTGTCCTGTTTCTCTTAACCTATTCTTGCTTTAGATTTTCCATATTCATTCTTTTTACTCATTAAAAATTCATCCTACTTACATATCTAATTTCTGATCCCCTGCTCATACACTCTTCTCTCTTCTCTATTCAATTTTTTTCACTCTTCCATTTTTTTTTGTTTTTTGTTTAATTTTGTCCTCCTTTCTCTGTCCTATTGTTGTTAGTTTATTGATTAGATTGTTTTGTTTGTGTGATTGTTTCTCCTTTTTTGTTTTGCTTCTGTTTTTCCTATCCTCATTTGTTATTAGTTGTTGTTTCTAGTTTGCATTCTTATCTGTGTGTTAGTTGCATTTTTTTTTGGATTAGTTGTTGTTCTATTGGAGTTTTCTCCCCATATAAACAGTCCCCCCCCCCTTCTTTTTTATTCTCTTTCTTTTCCCTCTTACTGTTTTTCCTTTTCTTAATATCATTTTTGCATTTAAAAAAAAAAAAAATCCCAAATTCACTTTTCTCTGGTGGTCACATTTATTTGGGGTTATTAGTATTGTGAATACTAATTTGTGTTCAATATCTTGTGCGTTGTGCCTTGTTCTGTTGTATTTTGTGCCTTTAAGTCAATGCAGGAGTGAAAGAGATATATAACCAGACACCTGAAGAGGAGAAATTATGGGGAGACAAAGAAAGAGCCTGCATACAAAAGAAAAGGAGGCATTAGCAGAAAGGAAGTAAATAAAATGAAGGCAAGCACTATGACAGAGAAAGTATTCAGAGAAATGGTCATAGCTCATTGAAAAGTTTAGAAGACAAATTCAACAATAAATGTAAGAACCAAGAGGAAATGAAGAACCAAGAAGAAATGAAAAATGACATCACTGCAATAAAGAATTCAATAGAAAGCATTAAGAGTAGGCTAGAAGAAGCTGAGGATCATTTCAGTAAGCTAGAAGACAAGATAGGAAAAAATACCTAAGCAGAGCAGCATCTAAAAAAAAAAAAGCTTAAAGAACAAGAGGAGACCTAAGGGAACTTTGGGAAAACACAAAACTAAACAACATCCACATAATAGGAAGTCAGAAGGAGAGGAAACTGAGAAAGGAATAAAAAACCTGTTTTAATAAAATGAGAAAAAACTTCCCTGGTTTAAGGAAGAAAAAACTCACAAAAGTCCAAGAAGCTCACAGAGTCTCAAACAAACTGAACCCCCCAAAAAACCCGACGCCAAGGCACATTATATATATTTTTTTACTTAATAAATATTTATTATTAGGATTATTAAAATTGTTCCTCTTTTATCCCCCATAGCTCCCCTCCACCAGGTTCCCACCCTACCTTTTGCCCTTACCCACCTTCCCTCCACCCCTGCAGTCCTCATCCATAGGTGTATGATTTTTGTCCAGTCTCTTCCTGTACCCCCAACACCACTTTCCCCCTGAGAACTGTCAGTCCATTCCCTTTCTTTGCCCCTGATTCTATTATAGTCACCAGTTTATTCTGTTCATCAGATTTTTTATTCACTTGATTTTTAAATTCACTTGTTGATAGATATGTATTTGTTGTTCATAATTTTTATCTTTACCATTTTCTTCTTCTTCACCTTTTTAAAAAATATATATTTTATTGATTTTTAACAGAAAGGGAGAGAGAGAGCTAGAAACGTCAATGAGAGAGAAACTTCGACCAGCTGCCTCTTGCAAACCCCCCACCGGGGACGCGCCCGCAACCAACACGCATGCCCCCGACCTGAATCGAACCTGGGACCTTTCAGTCCGCAGACCAACACTCTACCACTGAGCCAAACCGGTTTCGGCTTCTTCCTCTTCTTGAAGAATACCTTTCAGCATATTATATAATACTGGTTTGGCAGTGATGAACTACCTTATTTTAGCTTTTTCTTATCTGTGAAGCTCTTTATCTGACCTTCAATTCTGAATGATAGCTTTGCTACATAGAGTAATCTTAGTTGTAGTTTTTTGCTATATTCATCACTTTGAATATTTCTTATCATTTCCATCTGGCTTACATAGTTTCAGTTGACAAATCAGCTGACAGTCATATGGGTGGCTCCCTCGTAGGTAATTAACTGTTTTTCTCTTACTACTTTTAATATTCTCTTTGTCTTTTGCTCTTGACATTTTAATTATGATGTGTCTTTGTTTGGTTCTCTTTGGAATCTTTTTGTTTAGTGTACTCTGCACTTCTTGGACTTGTAAATCTATTTCTTTCACCAGGTGGGGGAAGCTTTTGATCATTATTTCTCCAAATAGATTTTCAGTATCCTGCTCTCTCTTCTTCTGGCACCCCCATAATTCTGATGTTGGTACTCTTGAAGTTGTCCCAGAGGCTCTTTCCTCTATCTTCATATTTTTGGATTCTTTTTTCTTTTCCAGCTAAGTGTTTTTGCTTCTTTGACTTGACTCTTACAATCCTCTAGTCTGCTGTTAGATCTCTGTATAATATTTTAAAATATATTTTATTGATTTTTTACAGAGAGGAAGGGAGAGAGATAGTTAGAAACATTGATCAGTTGCCTCTTGCACATCCCCCAATGGGGGATGTGCCCGCAACCAAGGCACATGCTCCTGACCTGAATCGAACCAGGGACCTTTCAGTCTACAGGCTGATGCTCTATCCACTGAGCCACACTGGTTTCGGTAACATTTTTTATTTCAGTCAGTGTATGATTAATTTCTAGTTGGTCCTTTTTCATATCCTTGAGGGTCTTGCTAAATTTATCGGCCTTTTCTAGAAAATTCTTGAAAAACTTTATAACTGTGGTTTTGAACTCTATATCCAGTTGTTTCCTTTCCTCCACTTCTTTCAATTGTGATGGTTTCTTTATCTCCACATTTTGGCTACTTCCCTGAGTTGATAGAGTGGCTTTGTGTGCTAGGTGTCCAATACAGCTTAGTTCAGCCTCCCCAGTTACCAGAGGTGGACACTCTTGGTGCACACCTTTGTGGGCTGTGTGCACAGTCTTGTGGTAGTTAAGCCTTGATTGTTGTTGGTATCACAGGGAGAAATTAACCTCCAGGCCAATTGGCTGTGAGGATCAGCTGTGTCTACGTCAGGAGAACAATGCTGGAGACACCCTTATGAGACAAGATTTGCAAAACATTTGTGCTCACTTAGGATGGGGCAGAGTCTCAGGGAGAAGCAGACAGTATTGGTTTCCTGTCAGCCCTGCCCTAATAGACCTCTGTGTCTCAGTGTCCCATGGTAATCACTGCAAGCACCACTGTGAGAAAGCCTACCTCGAGTTCTGCCTGCTGCCAGACAGGCCAGTTTCTCCCCGAATGAGTGTGGGTCCCCAGTGACTTGCACGGAACTGGAGTTCAGTGCAGTCGGGAGCTTTTGTCTCCCTCCCTCTTGAGAAAGCCAGCTGCACACTCAGTTGACAGTCCTCTCCGCGCGCACGTCTTAGTACCTCTGCTTCCTACAGCGCCTCTCAGTCTCAGTGTGTTTTTCTCTTTCCTTCTAGTTGTAGAATTTCCACTCAGCCAGTCTTCCTGTGATTCTGGATGATGTCTGTCTTGTCTTTTAGTTGTAGTTTTGAAATTGTTGTGCGAGGCAGCAGTTTAGGTGTTTACCTATGCTGCCATCTTGGTTCCTCAAGGCACATTATAATTAAACTAGAGGCCCAGTGCAAAAATCCATGCCCTAGAGCGGGGTCCCTTAGCCTGGCCTGCACTCTCTAGCAGTCTGGGAGCCCTGGGAGGATGTCTGACAGACAGCTTAGTGAACCTAAGCCATCTGTCGGACATTCTTAGCATTGCCACGAAGTTGTGAGAGGCACCCACCATTACCACTGCGCACGCCAGAGGTAAGCCCGTCTCCTGGTTGACCAGCACTCCCCCTGTGGGAGCACACTGACCACCAGAGGGCAGCTCCTGTACCCTGGTAGTCTGAGTGCATCATGGTGACCAGTCATTCCACCATTCAGTCATTTCTATATTAGCCTTTTATTATACAGGATATGCTGTAGATGAGGCCCCCTAGAACCATAAGAAATGCAAATTTCTTAAATTCACTGTTAACTCATTCTTGATTTGCCCCCCACTTAAATCAAATTGCCGCCCCTGTCAGGCATGTGCTACACCTGGGGAAACATGGATTGATAGTTTTCCTCTCTGAGCTTCATTTCTGAATATAT